GTCTAGTGATGATGTGACACAGGGGAAGAGCAAGAAACAGAAACCAGAAACAAGAAGAGAGTTACCTTTTCACAATAAAACAAGAAAATCATAAGACCAACAACAAACTTTTTTGTTTTCTTTTGAAGTTGAATGCTTAATTCAGATGTTTCATCATATTAATATATGTGAACATGTATGTTAAGTTCGGGGCACCAGTTTCCAAACCTAGAGTCTAATCAGCAAAAGAAATTTAGAGGTTTGGTTTATATGTGAGCCACACTGAATGAAAAAAACATCCTCTCTACTATTCACTAAATGGGACATTTCAAAGGATTTTCCTGCATTACTAAAAGTGTCTGTTAATGACTCCTAAAGCACCAATAACACAGAAAAAGACACAACACCTGAAATAAACCTGAGAAAAACAGCTCGAGACTTTTTACTGGTCATTATTATTTTTATCAATCCCCTTATGTCCACTGTTAACTAAACCTCGGTTTGTTTAGCAGAAAACAGCTATTCTGACAACTGTGTTCAACTTCTCTCCTCTCCCTGATTACAGAACAGACATCTCCAAACTCTGTAGTTATCATTGCAAATAACTGCTTGAACACATTGTCTTCAGTCGTGTGGTTAAACTATGGTTTGTCCTTTTACAGGTGTTTGAAATACTGAAAAGAACAAAGTGCAAAGCCAAGTACAGCATGGGTAAGTGGGACTGTTTCTCCTGTTTGTCTGTAACACATGGAACTGTTTCAGTTAGTATTGTTTGTGAATATAAAATGTTCCCAACTTACTCTTTGATAGCCATTTTATGGACTGAATGCCCCAGATTCTCCGGATGCCATACTTATAAGAGAGGGTATATAACATGGATGGGTGGGTATTGTTGGGTATTGTAAAGTTGAATTAAATTAATTCAATTTTATTTCTATAGCTCCACATCCCAACAGCAGTTATCTCCCAGCTTTCCAAACAGAGCAGCTCAGACTCTGAGTTATTTACAGAACAACAACAATTCCCACCAAGAGCAGCACTAGGCGACACATGGAAGGAAAAACTGCCTTTAAGAGGAAGAAACCTGGAGCAGAACCATTGCTCAGGGTGATACTACTGATAACGATAGCAGTAATAACAGCAATAAAACTATGAAAAAGCGGGTGGGGGGGGGCACTCCCAACCACAGATCAAGGAACATCTGAAGGAGGTGATGGAAGAGAGAGGAGAGGGAGGAGAAAGCACAGGACTATGGGAAAGGGAGAGAGTCCAGTTGTAACATACTTAATGGAATAAGGGAAAGATACAAAAGAGAGGGGAGAGGTGCATCATGGGAAATCCCCTGGCAGTCTGGGCCTATATTAGCATTAACTAGGGCTGGACTCACCCTAACTATGAGCTCCATCATGGAGGAAAGTCTTAAACTTTTTCTTAAATGTAGAGACAGGTTCTGCCTCCTGGACCCAAACTGGAACCTGGTTCCTCAGAAGAGGACTCTGATAGCTGAACACTCTGTTGGATGACAGAAAGACAGAATCAGACAACGAATCTTTCCCACTGTTCAGTCTTTGGATTGCTTGAACGAAGGAGTTCTCCTCACTCAGCTATTATCCAGTACTTTATGAAACTGAACTCAATAAAGATTCTATCTTTACACAGTGATAACTCATCAATAGGGGACAGAAAAAAGCTCATATCACCAGACGGTGAACAGAAAAGCTGAGCTCAGCTCCTTCTGTATGCGGGGCTCCATGTTTCCTGTGTGGTGTAATCCCAGTTCGTGAACTAATGCAAACGTCTGTAAACGTCTGTAAACGTCTGTAAACGTCTGTAAACATCTTTAAACGTCTGTAAACGTCTTTAAACGTCTATAAACGTCTGTAAACGTCTGTAAACGTCTGTAAACGTCTTTAAACTTCTGCCCTTTCCCGTTAGGCATCACCAGCCTCCTGGGCCGCGGCGTGTACACGGCAGCCTACCCGCTTCACGATGTGAGTTTTTCTGCTACTGTGGCATAGATAGTTTCTCCTTTACGGCTTAAAGGGGACATATTATGCAAAACCAAGTTTTTAATCATTTGATTATGTACATTTGGGACTGTGGAGGGCCTATCAGCAGGCAAAGTGTGAAAAAAAAAGGCTCAGTCATGTTTTTGTGGGCCGCCTCAGTCTGAATCCAGGAGATAAATCAGGAGGTTTCAGGAGTGGGTAGTTTCTGACGTCATTAGCTCTAGCTCATTATAATATTCCAGCCTTTCACCTGCATGTTGCCCCCCCCCCTCAGCTTACTCCGCCTATCTGTGGAGACTTGTAACATTTACTTGTGTAACGGGAATAGCATGCTACTTATGTTTACTCAACTAACAGAAATCTAGATTTTTGTAAGCAGTAAATTACACAAACAGCGGTTGACCATATTTAGTCAGCAACCGTATTTACCCGACGTACAAACATACACATTTTTAAGAAAAAAGTCAAACAAAGCTCATAACTCACCATTCAGAATCGTCTTGTATTAGTCTACATTGAACAACTTCTTGGCTAGCTCCTTCTTGTTCAGGGTCTGACTCCGGTTCAAACATATAAGGTTGGACCGAAAAGTTTCCATCTTTCTCCCAGAGTTCCCGTCCAGCTGTTGTCATGGTAGCGTTAGCATGGTAGCGTTAGCATGGTAGCGTTATCATGGTAGCGTTAGCATGGTAGTGTTAGCATGGTAGCTTTAGCATGGTAGCGTTAGCGTGGTAGCGTTAGCGTGGTAGCGTTAGCGTGGTAGCGTTAGCGTGCCGACGTGGGCACACCTCCCTGAAGAAGTGGGTGGATTGCCTGTGTCTCATTTGCATTTAAAGAGACAGGCACTCCAAAGCGAGCGCTCTGAACGGGGCTGTTTTGGGTTAGGGTTAGGGTTAGGGTTAGGGTTAGGCAGGGGGACTGAACTGCAATTGGGCTTCATCCTTATGGGATTTTGACCAAAGCTTGTCACAGACATTACATTAGGACACCAGGGAACTAGCTTAACTTGTTTAAATAGGGCAGGGTTTTTCAACCACTGTGCCTCGGCACACTAGTGTGCCGCGAGTGATGGTCAGGTGTGCCGTAGAAAATCATCCTAATTCACCTAATTGGTCTAAAAATACTTTTTGATAAGGAGTTAATTATCTGCAAATAATATGCCATTTTTGAGTGTCTGTGCTGTTCTAGTGACTGGTGGCGTAATCATGTAATAATTCCTTATGACTAGATTTTGTATATAATTTTGTATATTGAAGTGGACATGTTAAGTGCAATTTGAGAGAAGAAGAAATATAAAATATGATAAAAATACATTTTTGTGTTTATTTGATTCCTATTCAAGACACTTAAGATAAGATGAGAATAAAATAAGAATAACTATAGTGTTACTATTGGCGGCTACAGATTTGTTTAACATTTTTGGTTGGTGGTGTGCCTCGAGATTTTTTCAATGAAAAAATGTACCTTGGCTCAAAAAAGGTTGAAAAACACTGAAATAGGGTATAATATGTCTCCTTTAAGTCCGGATCATGGCTCCAGCAGAGGTCAGCTCCCCAGAGTGGGATCTATTTCTGCTGCTCACTAACCAGAAATCCCACATCACTGACAGATCAGTAGCTTTCTGCTAGCAAGTTTACTCCTATTAACTTTACTTTAAAACAGGACAGTAATTCAGTTTCCACCAGCCATCTTCAAATCAGAATTTAAAAGTTGATTCATTACCGGCTGGTGGCGTCAGATCATCAGGTCTTCTTCTTCTCTTCTTTTTCAGGGGGATATTAACGAAGAGAGCGCAGAAATCAATGACAGAAAGGTCGGAAAAATCACCGTCTGGATGCCTGAACGTTTTTCTGACTTTAAAGTTTCATCTAGAGATTTACTATTCGCTACTTCACAAATTGTAGATGGGATTATAATGCTGCTTTGTGTAGTGATTAAACCAGATAATTACTCACAAACATCTCGAGCTTCTGAACAATCTGAGGTAATAAAACTGATGATGGCCGGTTGATTTCTACAGCTTTTGTATGAAGAGTGGGCGAACTACAGCGTCTTCTACAAATACCAGCCAATCGGACTCGTGCGGTAAGGAACCGACTTCCACGGGAATTCAAATCCAGTTTAATTTCAGGTGCAGCATCTCTGGATGATTGCAGGTATAAAGAGGTCAGGAATCAAACCTTTTAAATGTCTGACATCAGGATGTTATATTAAATACAGTTTAGTTTTATTGATATGATGTAAAATCACATCAGACGCCTTCTCTTTATACTTCAGATATAATAATATTCTACCTGAGTCCTGTTCATTTTAATATAAAGTTACAAATTCATGAGAAAAAACACAAAGTCATGACTTGGCGATAATATTCCCATTCAAAAATTCAAATGAGAAGTTAAAGAAAGCAGGAAATGATCCATAAATGATCCGACAAAAGTTTTAACATCTTCACCAGCGGAATGAAAACTGTGTAAAGTGAAGCCCTCTCATGCTTTTGAAGCCAGAGATGATCATACCTGGAGACTGTGAAAGAAAGGCTGGATACACTAACAATAAAAAGGCCTAAATTAGCCTAAATTAGCCCTGTAAAATGAAGCCTAATTAATAACAACAGTCCCCTGCTCCCCACACGGATAGTTCAGTCTACATGGATTTCTTACATGCTGAATTGTATTCAATTTTTTGTTTTAATAAACAGTGGGGAGAAAGAAACGTCTATGTTTCACTGTTTGTTTGTTTATTTATTTGCATCTCTTTTTTTGTCATTCAGGAAGTATTTTGGGGAGAAGATCGGCCTGTATTTCGCCTGGTTGGGTCTGTACACCCAGATGCTGATCCCTGCATCCCTGGTTGGAGTCATAGTCTTTCTGTACGGATGTGCCACCGTTGATGACAACATACCCAGGTAAGCACACACCTGGACTCACTATGAGCACACTATTAAGGAACTGTACATAAATATAGGAGTGTCAAACAGAGTACCTGCTATCACTAACCACTCCTAACTGTTGTGTATCTTGTTTGAGCTGAATGCATTTTCCTAGTTTCTGGTTTCCAAGTTACTGGACAGAAAACTCTCACAGAATCTGAGGAGAAAACTGAAACAACTGAGGACAATACGTTAAGCAAGGGAGATTAAACTCGCTTTAATTTCTTCTTCTTCATCTCTTTTCTAAAAAACACAATGAACGTCTCACATTTATTAGTGAATAAATAATATCTGACCAGATTGTATGGGAGCTCATTTTTATCTACAGTTCTATCTTTATCTAATATTTTTGTAGCCCTGTTTTCTTTAATATATATGTGTGTGTGTGTGTGTGTGTGACTTATGTATAGATTTATAAGCATGTACATTGTAAATGAAGATGCCAATCAGATCTTGAAACACAATTTCCTTAATAAATTCAGATATTAAAATTAAACTTATTAACTATAAGGCCAAACAAACAAACAATAGTCAGTTAACCCAAAGCTTTACTTTCATAGGGGTTACAATTCAGAGAAAGAGGAAAATATAATACCAAGAAATGACTGATGAGGAAGAGCTAATCCAAATAAAGATAGAAAAATAGAAACTGTAGGAAACAATGTGATTTGACAAATTGATTCTAAAAGGTTTCGTCCGTTTTTCTGCCTGCTTCTCGTCATATTCAGGAGACGTTAGTTCCTGCCTGTGACATCACTGTTTGTAAGCAGTCACTAGTTTCTGTCATTTAAAGCCACAGTAACACAAACCAGAGCCTGTCAGAGCTCATAATGTCAGGAAATCCCATCTCCAGAGAGAACCCCTAATGGACATCTGGAAATGTTAAAAAAAAGAAGAAGAAAGATCATAAATTTCCTGAGATACCAACAAAAGACTTTCCACAGTTACAAGAAAACAGGACATCAATAAATAAATAAAAAAGACGAATAAAGATCATCAATTTCCTGAGTTACCAACAAAAGAGTTTCTACAGTTACAAGAAAATAGGAGATCAATACATTTTAAAAAATAAGAAAAAAGATGATCAATTTCCTGAGATACCAACAAAAGTGTTTTTACAGTTACAAGAAAACAGGACATCAATAAATTTAAAAAAAGAAGAATAAAGATCATCAATTTCCTGAGATACCAACAAAAGAGTTTCTACAGTTACAAGAAAATAGGACATCAATAAAATTTTAAGAAGACGAATAAAGATTATCAATTTCCTGAGATACCAACAAAAGAGTCTCTACAGTTACAAGAAAACAGGACATCTAGAATTTGGAAAAAAAGAAAAAGAAAGACTATCAATTTCCTAAGATACCAACAAAAGAGTTTCTACAGTTACAAGTAAAAAGGGCATCAATGAATTAAAAAAAAAATAAGAAAAAAGATTATCAATTTCCTGAGATACAAACAAAAGAGTTTATACAGTTACGTGAAAACGAATCAGATTACATGTAACTGATCAGAGGAGTGCTTTAACCTGTGATAGTTTATTTAAACGTCCCTGTAAGAATAATTTGACGGTCAAATTGTAGAAAGGGAGGATTGGAAATGGGGAACAGGGAGCCTCCAGGACCTGATGGATGGAGATGAGCTCTTGGCTCTGATAAGAGTGTAACCTCCTTTCTGTGAGTTCTGGTAGTTATCTGTTTTTACTTTTTAATGTACCCCGGGCTTCAACTGAGGTGGGAAAAACTGCATTCTCCTACTCTGCACCTTGGGGATGGAATAACCTCCAGAAAGAGCTCAAATCAGAAACTCTCGTGTCCATTAATGAATTTAAAGCAACCATGAAGAATGTAGTGGTGGAGATATCTGCTTGTTTTTCTTGAGATGCTCAATGTGTTTTAACATACTGCTCTGATTCTATTATAAATAAGGTGGGATACCGTGAACCAACTGAGAAACTCTTTATTCAAAGTAAAATATTAAAATTTAAAGATATTGTTTATACAAAAATACTGGAAATAATGTATGAAGCATTGAATAAAAGTCTTCCTTCTGGTATTCAGAAATGATTTAAGTTAAGAGAAAATAAATATAATTTGCGAGGTTTGTTTATATTTGAATGTGCAAAAGAAAAAAGTCAGATAAAGTCTAGAAGTGTTTCAGTTATTGGTGTGAAACTGTGGAATGAATTGAATGATGAATTTAAGTTATGTCCTTTCTTGGTGAACTTTAAAAGAGCTTTAAAATGTAAAATAAGAAAATCTTACGCTGGTATGTAGATCTACATATGTACTATGTACTTGAACCTGAATTTGAAGAAATCCTGGTAGGTTGTAAGGTAAGAAAATAGGGCAGGCAAGAATAAGCTTTGCTTCGGCCTATTCCTTTTTTGGTAAACTGTGGGTTTGTCTATTATTTTTTTCTTTTTTTCTTTTGTTGTTTCTTGTGTTTAATGTGGACAATTGACCAAAATAAAGTGAAAGTGAAGTGAAAGTGATTATAAAAAATGTAATATGTTGTAAATATATATGAACTTCCTGTGGTTTGGCTGCTAGCTTGGCCAGGACTCTCTTGAAAAAAAGAGATTCTGAATCTCAACGGGACTTCCTGGTTAAATAAAGGTTAAGGTTAAAAAATGTAAGTGGCTGTGTGTGTTTATGAATTCCAGCATGGAGATCTGTCACCCGAAGAACAACATCACCATGTGCCCCCTGTGTGACCGAGTGTGCAGCTACTGGAGGCTCAGCACCTCCTGTGGAACGGCCCGCGCCAGCCATCTGTTCGACAACCCGGCCACCGTCTTCTTCTCCGTGTTCATGGCTCTGTGGGGTGAGTGAGAACAACCGATTAATCTATAAGCCCAAAAGAGAACATCACTAGTGGACCAACATCTAGAATCTAGACTGGAGAGGAATTACTGGAGCTTTTCCAAATAAACCTTTTCCACATTATCAGCTTCCCTTCATCATCTGCTGGTCTGAATAGAGTATTTTACATATATACCGGTACACACATATATATATATACAGGACAAAACACCAAAAATTCTCACAGACGTGAAAAATCTTTTGAATCTCTGAATCTTGTAAACTTCTCCTGTTAGCTTTGATCCACTCAGAGTTCACATAGAACATGTTAGTTAACGTCTCTGAGGGGAAATAGAAACACAGTGGATTTTAATAAATGTTCATTTCTGGAGTTTGATCATGTAAATCCAGTTGTAAGGTTGTGATGTTTGATGATGTCTTTGGTTCTAAGCCGCCATGTTCATGGAGCACTGGAAGAGGAGACAGATGAGACTCAACTATGAGTGGGACCTCACCGGGTTTGAAGATGAGGAGGTTAGTATTATAGTATTATCTGAAAACTGAGGCGGTGATCATCTCTTTTAGGTCTCTAATACAAAAGTGGGAAATATTTTTTTCTTAAATTCAAACTGAGACATTTTACTGTCAAATGGAAGTACGAGTTCATTCTGAATCCGATGGCGGAAATTCAATTCAATTCAATTTTATTTATATAGCGCCACATCACAACAACAGTCATATCACAGCGCTTTCCAAACAGAGCAGGTCAGACCCTACTCTGAAGTTAACTACAGAAACCCAACAATTCCCACCATGAGCAAGCACTAGGCGACACAGGCAAGGAAAAACTTCCTTTTAACAGGCAGAAACCTGGAGCAGAACAACGGAAATGCGTTGAGATGGGACAACAACAAGCCAAAAATGATGGTTTGCAAGTAATAGGTTGGTAAAATAACAGTGTATAGGAATAATTACTAATAATTACTAATTATAGGAATAATTGGTTGTTGTACAGAGGTTCAGGAATCTGACAATAACATTGTGGAGCAGGTTTAGGAAAGTGCTCCTCAGTTTGGAACAACAGAGAATTATTTTCCTCTGGAACTGGACATCCCAACATCTGGAAATGTTCTGTAGATAATGTAAAGAAGCTCCAGGTATCACCTGAGAACATCCAAAAAACCCGACCCAGAACTTCTTCTCAGCCTTTGGGATGCACTAATTATATGATACTATTCCCCCAAACATCCATTAGCTGGGGTCCTCTGTTCCACATGTTTACAGGCTGATGTTGGAGGAAGAGGGGATGTGTTATGGAAAAAGTTCTTTAAATGAGTGAGGCAAAGTTTCCTAATAATTAGAGAAGATCGATCTTGTCCAATACAGAGATTTATTCGAAGGCAAGAGCGTTCGAAGACGCAGGTCACAGAGAAAACCCAAGGGAAAGGCACGTCCCCTTTTATAACATAGTACGGATAAAGGAAAGGAAAAGGTCACTGTGTTACTTGTGAGCAACAAACAAAGAGATTCTGATTTACATCTCAGTCCTCAGGAAGTCCCATGGAGAATCTCCAAAAGGAAAAAAGCTATGCTTATTCTCAGGAGACAGGAAATCCCGATGTGGATTGATCAAAAGGAGTATCTTCTCAGGAGATGAGTGA